ACACAGGCATTGGGGAATGTGACATTAGAAAACCAACAGATGTTGGCAAATCCAGGCAAGGGCTTGGCTGTCCTAGACACACGTACCCTCAAAGGCTGGTTTGTCAACTTTGTGGGAAAACAGCTTCTCACGGGGCTTGGCCTGTGCTTGGATGTGGCCTCTCTGACTGGCACACAAGATGCACCTCCTAGCTATGTGTCCACTGGACAAGCTGATGAATGAAACATGCAAAGATGACATTTAGAAAATAAATGAATCAGAAGCCCTGCACCCATTATCAGACTTCTTTATGCAGCCACCCATCGGCCCATTGAGCTGCCCCTTGCCTGTCTGTTCCTAGACACTGTGACACACAGTGCCTCATCTTTTTAGCGACTGAGCCTTTCTATTCTGGCTCAGTAACTGCAGCTATCACAGAATTAAGTAATGACAAAGTGAATTATTACCCAGCTCGGCTTCAGCTGGGGATGTAACCTGCAGCTGAGATACCTCACTGTTAGATCGCTTGCATGACTGTCTAGGCAGTGACATGAAAAATGTCCCCTATAATTCCTCAGCTCAGAGCCATACATCCTCAGAGCCTTGACTCTACACTTCATGGGGAATAATGTTGTTTTGTTGAGAAGGGGAAGAGGGTATAATTAAATTCCTCTTAAATGTTACATTCATCCTGGTTAATCAAAAATTAGTAGCTCTTAAAAAAAAAATAAACACAACTCAACTCCCCAGGAAGCTGATAGCAGTTCCCATGGCCCGTTTAATTACACAAAAACAAAACAAAGTGTGTTTCTCTGCCTCTGGACTGTGGAATGAACCAAACGAAATATAATGGTGGCTGTATCAGGGTGGTGGGATTAAAGGTGATTTTTAATTTGCTCTGTTAATTTTTCTACAATAGGCATATATTTCTCATTAAAAAGCATTCAAATAACTAAAAAAATATGGGATTACATTATCAAAACCTGTAAACAAAAGAAACAGATGACTACTTATCCCAGCCCCCAACTCGCACTCCACTCCCCGGAAGGGACCACTGTCCTTGGCTGGGTGTGTGTCCTTTCAGACAGCCCGAGGCATTGTCCATTTTCCTCATGTCACCTCATGTCATATTTGGAGCCATCATTTTCTCATTTTCTAGCCATTCCCCCAGAGGAAGGCCTTGTTTGTCTGATTCCCATTATGTCCCCAACAACAGTGCCTGGCACACATAGGTGCTTATTCAACAATTGTTGAATGAACTAAAGAAGAAAAGGATATGTATGGGGAGGAAACATGCTATTTAAAACCATAGGGTCTTCTAAAGAGAGGGGGCCATTTTGGCCTTTTGACATATTTCCATTGAGTCTGAAGCTCACTGGAGGCAGGACCTGGAGAGAATTAAATTGTCCTGTAGAAAGAATGCTTTGTTTCTTTGCTCTCAAGAGAGAATAGTGACAACATGCGTGAACCCCATCTGTGATGAGTGAAAGAAGTCAGACCAAAACAGAGTATGTGCTGTAGGACATTCAATTTTTATGAAATTCTAGGGAAGGCACAGTAATCTGTAGTGACAGAAAGCAGACCAGTGGTCACTTGGGGACGGGGTACAGGAGGTAGGAGGGAAGGTGACTAAGGGGCATTCTTGGGGGTGCTGGGTATGTGCAGTAGCTTGATCAGGGTGACAGTGCTGTGGGTGCGAACATTATGTCAGAACTTATCAAATTATACACTCTAAACATGCACAGCTGATTGTGTGTCAACCATATCTCTATAAAGCTGTTACAAATTGATAAGGGGGCACAGAGGGGGAAATTAGACAGGGGGGCCACCATATGTGCTGAGGTTGGGGTGATTTCGGGGGATAATGTGTCCTGGGAAAAATGCCGAGGTGGAACAGTGAGAGGAATTTGCAGTTAAGGGCTACATGGGGCTCAGACTGAAGTAATTTGATGTGATGTAATGGCATTCTCCTCCAACATCAATTAAGTGGACCATGTACACTAGACTCTGATGACCATGGTGAGTGTGCATGTGTGTGTGCCAAGGGGGAGAGGAGGAAAAGGGCACGGTGGAACGTAACAGACTGCATGGACAGGAGAGTGAGGTAATAAAGAAACAGAACTAACTTGTCAGAAGTGGACACTTGGGACCAGAAGGGACCCCTAGAAATGCAGGCCCTCCTTCTCCAACCCTCAGGCACTTGCACAAATCTTGGGGAAGTGTTTGAGTTGCTACAGGGCACCAAATCAGGATTTATCACAAGTTTATTTAGGTCTCACGGGCAGGCAGATTCCAGCTGACATCTGAATGCCTCCCCCACACTCAGTGGCTTTTTGCTGAACGTGTCTAGGAATATTATTTTGATTTGTTGTCAGAAAAACAACTGCTGCTATTTTGAGTACTGACAGCAGGAGGTGCAATGATGGATGGGCTGTCATCGGGTGGGGCTCAGATCACCTTTCATCCGCTTGGCTCGTTTCACAACACCTGTGTTTTGGGGGCAAGTTGTGCATTTAGCAGATGTTGGCTGATGGCTTGCTATGGGCTGGGCATTGTACCAGATGTCAAGATGAAAACAGTGAATGTAACTCAGGCCTTCCTCCAAGAGCTCACAGTGCAGAATACAACACAGACAAATAAGATACCATCATATGGGAAAGGTTGCACTGCAGGGATTGGAAAACTATGGCCCACAGGCCAAATCTGGCCCTCTGCCAGCCTGTGTGAATAAAGTTTTATTGGAACACAGCCATTGATGTGGCGCCTTTCAACAACAGCAGAGTTTAGTAGTCAAGACAGACTGTGTGGTCTCCAAAGCCCACATTACTTATATCATCTGATCCTTCAGGGAAAAAGGTTGCTGACTTCTGCTCTAATAGCCCAGATGGAGCCAGAAGTTATGACTGAGCAACAAGTTTAGGAGTTACTGACCCTGCTTGCTATGAAATCCAGCTCTCAGTGTCCCAAGCTAGTGGGCTCAGTTAGGGGTGAGAGTCTTCCTTGTCCTGGCTTTATGGTTCGGTGAGAAGCAGAATGGACCTCTGAGCTGCCTCTCTCTCCCCAGGAGGAAGGGAGATGTAGATGCTCACCGCTCCTCATCAGATTTCTAAGGTGGCAGTGCCCTGAGCACCTTGGTGACACCATCTCTGCCGAGGTGGCCTCAGGGAAATTCAGCAGAGCAGAGGTACTTGGCCAGGGACACTGGCAGAGTGTGGAGACAGAGGAACATCTTCTGTCATGCTCTCAAGTCCAAAGGGGAGGCTCAAACCAAAGAGTGTCAAGTGATAATTAAATAAAGGTTTTTAATTAGCATTCATTCACAGACTCCAGTGAAAATCTGCCCAGATTTTGTAAAGCGGTATTAAATATTAACCTCTAATGATTCACTATAGGCTGAAGCCTGATTAAAAATTGCCCTTGAAAATCATTTATTTGCAATTTATTCATTAAAAATTTATTAAGTACCTACTATATGCCAGGCGCTGTTCAAAGCCAACGTGGTCCCTGTTCTCAAGAGGCTTCTAGGCTGGAGATGGAGACAAGCCGTGACAGGTAGGCAGGTGAGGGCTGTCCCTTCTTGCTACATAGTTACAAAGTCCCCTCCCCTGCCCATTAGCTAATATGAACTGCTGCTCCTAGGAGGCACGAAGGGCTAGCTCCCTGCAAGCCTGGTCAACCAACCAATCCATCAATACATAACCATCAATCTCTAGACAACTTTGGTTTGTTTTCTGTGTGTTTCTGTTTAAACATAGCTTTAATGTGAAAAATGTGGCATCAAATCAACCGTAAAAAGCACACTTGTTTACAGTGTCAGAGCTGAGACAGGAAGGCAGAGCTTGGTCTCTTTCGACCTCAGCTGGAAATGTGCATGTCGGGCAACGCGAGTATTTTTGCTGTTCTGCGCTTGTCTGCAAATAACCGTGAAAGCACCACAAAGATTTTGGGGTTACGAATCAATTTTAGCATGTAGGTGAATTTTGAAAAACAGAATGAGTGAATAATGAGGATCAACTGTGGTTCAAAGCAGAGCGAACAGTTTCTGTACAGTTCCTCAGGGGGAAGACACTTGAGGAAGGCCACACAGTGGGAGAGGAGGCAGCCAGAGGGAGACAGAGAGCAGAAAGGTGGTGCGGGGGGAGGCCCATCAGGAGGGTGCTGCAAGGGCAGTGCATTACAAGGAGGCAAGCAGGGATGAGGGAGACCGGTTTGGGCAATGGCTGTCACCTGGGTGAATGACAATATGGCTTAGATCAAGTCTGTGCATGGAGTTCTAAGACATGCACAGATGTACTTGGAGACGGCCCTGCTAAGACTAGCTGATGTGTTTTTCCAGTAACTAGACAGTGTGTGTTTTAGTATTTGTGAAAAATTTACTTTTTGAGCTAGGCATGTTTCATTTTCAGGCATTCAGAATAAAAGATCAAACAGTAATCACTCGCCCCCAGATGCTCTTTGGCAGCTGCTAAGGGAACAGCTCATGCGTGGGCGCCCCGGGAGGGACTCGGATGGACGTCAGTGTGGGCTCCACCCGTGTCTTTTCATGTCCTTCTTGCACTACCGTACCCCCCGGCCCTCCCACCTTTACAGATTTCAAAAGGAGCCCCGACACACAGAATTCAAGAGAATGTAGAGCAGATGTGAAACTGGCCCTCTGGACACTGCCAGCTCACCTGATGAAAGCAAGGTCATACCTGGAATAAAATTTTAAAGAAATTCTATGGGAGCTTATAAAGAAGCTATACATTCTACCAGGTGCAGATTTCTATTTTTGCATTGTTTTGTGTTTTGACTAGATGAATCAGTTTTATTATAATTTAGAAAAAATGTAAATCACCTCAGAAATACTACCCAAATCGACCCTACCTTGGGACAAAGTTTCCTAGTACCTAGAGAGCCCTAGGTCACTGGATTATGTCATAATCAGTGATGTCATCGTTGGGGAAATTCTCAAGCTGCCCTCTGGTTTAAGCCTTTCAGGCGTTGAAGCCAGTTGGATCGAGAAACTTCCTGAGAGCAAGATGGCCCTGGACGGCACGTGGGCCCCGCAGGCAGCAGTCATGGGGGATGGGCCTGACAAGAAAAAGGGCGAACAGGCCCCCGTGAACACCCAGGCCCTCCAGACGGCCTCCGTGAAGGAAGGCCCCGCCAAGAGGGCAGTATGGGTCCGCCACACCTGTTCCGAGCCAGAAGAACCCACTCAGTCGGCAGAAGTCAAGGAGAAGCCCAAGGTAAAGGTGACCAAGGCTGTGGTCGTGGACCTTGGCACTGGCTACTGTAAATGTGGCTTCGCCGGGCTGCCAAGGCCCAGCCACAAGATCTCGTCAACCGTGGGCAAGCCCTACATGGAGACCGCCAAAACGGGGGACAACCGCAAAGAGACATTCGTGGGGCAGGAGCTCCTCAATCCGGAGGTTCATCTCAAGCTAATCAACCCTCTGCGGCACGGCATCATCGTGGACTGGGATTCTGTGCAGGCGATCTGGGAATATCTCTTCCAGCAAGAGATGAAGATCGCCCCGGAGGAGCACGCGGTCTTGGTTTCGGACCCACCCCTGAGCCCGCACACCAACAGAGAGCGGTACGCTGAGATGCTGTTTGAGACCTTCCACACGCCTGCGATGCACATCGCCTACCAGTCCCGCCTGTCCATGTACTCCTACGGCAGGACCTCCGGCCTGGTCGTGGAGGTCGGCCACGGCGTGTCCTATGTGGTCCCCATCTACGAAGGCTATCCTTTGCCCAGCATCACGGGACGGCTGGACTATGCGGGCTCTGACCTGACAGCCTACTTGATGGACCTGATGAACAATCATGGAAAGCACTTCACTGAGGACCAGGTGGGCATCGTGGAGGACATCAAGAAGACACGCTGCTTCGTGGCCCTGGACCCCATCGAAGAGAAGAAAGTCCCAGCTACTGTGCACACCATCCAGTACACTCTGCCAGACGGGCAGCAGATCAGCCTGGGCCAGGAGAGGTTCCTCTGCTCGGAGATGTTCTTTAAGCCGTCTCTGATCAAGTCCATGCAGCTGGGCCTCCACACCCAGACGGTGTCCTGCCTCAACAAGTGCGACATCGCCCTCAAACGGGACCTCATGGGGAACATCCTGCTCTGCGGGGGCAGCACCATGCTCAGTGGTTTCCCCAACCGTCTGCAGAAGGAGCTGAGCAACTTGTGCCCCAATGACAACCCCCAGGTCAACGTGCTGCCTGGAAGAGACACTGCGGTGTGGACGGGTGGCTCCATCCTGGCATCGCTCCAGGGCTTCCAGGCACTGTGGGTCCACCGCTTTGAGTACGAGGAGCACGGGCCTTTCTTCCTCTACAGACGGTGCTTCTGAACTCTGGGGAAGCGTGGTCGCTGTGGCTGCCCTGTGCCCGCTCTGCCGCGTGAGCACCTCCCCGCACGCAGGGAGCTGAGCCAGCACGCTCACTGGGGCAGGATTAAACAGTCTGTTCTCCTCCGCAGTGTGTTTCTCTGCTTCCTGACTTAACAAGAATGTACGTGCGGCTCTGCCTTAACATATACATTTGCCGACACAAAATCGGAAGTGGGGGTGGGGTGGATGACAGAGGAAAAAGACATGTGTCACATGTTAACTGCTTAAAAATTCTTGGGGGAAACTCACTCTAAAATTGCACTGTCTCTTATTTTGTGTATTTCCCACTTTAGGAACCACTGTTTTGCTAAAATCTGCTTGGAGGTGGGGTGTGAGGATAGATTACGAGCTGTTGTGATGTGTAAGAAGATTCCTTCTGATGAGCACAGATAGGAAGTAGGCTGTCGTGGTTCCATCTCCCACAATGCACCTGAATACCAGGGTCTGGTCTCCAGGAGGCAATGACAAGAGTTGTCAGCATTATCTTGTAGGCTTCTGTCTCTTACACAGGACCCAGAGGTCTTCCTATGGTCTTGAGTCTCCTGCACAACCCGACCCCGCCATGCAAAGGCACACACATTCAAGCACTCACAGCAGAGCTGTAGCATCTCCACCACCCTGGGGAGGAGCCCTACAGAACCACCCTCATAGCCTCCAGGTTGGCCTGGACAGCCCTGAAAGACCTATTTACATGGCAGACCCAGGATCCAGGCCTGGCGAGTAAGCACAGCTGGCGGGCACCAGCAGCTGGAGTAGGAAAGCAGAGGTAGCCACAGACAGGAACCTGGAGTTCCTGCAGTTCATCAAGGATGTCTCGGCCTTACCTTGGAGTGCCAGGAGATCAGCTAAGAGTTGGGTACAATGACAGAGAAAGAAGTATGACAGGAGGAACTGTTCATCTCAGTTTCTGCTCAAACACCTCACACGTCAACACGTCATGAACAGTCACTGCTGGGCGGGTTGAAGTTTGGTTAATTCTTAACCTTTGGACCTCTTTGGCAGGGTGATGAAGCCCACGTACCCTTCTCTGAATAGTATTTTAAAATTCATAAAATAAAGTACATTGCATTACAGAGGAAAGCAATCACACAGAAATATACTATCTCAGACCTGTTAAGGGTCTATGAACCCAAGTCAAGAAGCCCCCACAGTGAGGGTCTGGGTGAAAGGGAGGCATGGGAGGTGGCCTGGAGGGTGGGACTCTCCAGGCCATCCCAGGCCTAAACATTACACTGTATTTTTAAATTAAAATTACAAATAGAAGGCCAAACAACTGCGTAGTCTTTTTTCAAAAAGCTTTTATGAATTTCCTCATCTGATCCTTACACAATCACCCTTGTAGAAAAAAAAATCTTCACAAAAAGTGAACAGTTTTAGTAAGTATTTGGAAGTCATCTTAGTCTAGTGGTTCTCAAATGGGGGAAATTCGGACCCCCAGGCTACATTGGCAATGTCTGAAGATATTTTTGTTTGGAGTTGGGGTTAGGGCTAGAGCTAGGGTTAGAGCTAGGGTTAGAGTTGGGGTTAGGGCTAGGGCTAGGGCTATTGTTCGGATTACGGAGAAGAGGGAACCCAGGAACACAGAGCACTTCTTCAGTTCTGCCCTATGGCACAGTATTAGCTTCAGCCGTTCCACAGCATTTGGATATTTATGGTTACCTTGCTTCTAAGATGTTCATGCTCACCCCATTACTCATGAACATGACAGACAAGGACGGACAACTGAAGCTTCCCAGGGCCTGTGTAGGCTGTGCTGCTCGTGAAGCACGCAGGTTTATGGGCCAGCAAGCCTGGGGGTAATAGCTAATTTTGCTTTCCAACTTATAGTTATCTTAAATTACTAAAATTTTTCAGTTTTATGGATTGATTTTAGTGAGAGATGAGAAAGAGAGAGAGGGGGGACATCAATTTGTTCCACTTATTTGTACATTCAATGGCTGATTGTTGTATGTCCCCTGAACAGGGATCGAACCCACAACTTTCACGTATCAGGATGAAGCTCTAACTAATTGAGCTACCTGGGTGCAGATTAAAAAAAAAGATAGTTTCTTCTTTTATATAATAAAAGGAAGAAATACTTTCTTGTTAAAAATTTTTTGGCGTAGACCTAGCTGGGTGCCTCATTTGGCTGGAGCACTGTCCTGCACACCAAAAGGCTGTGGGTTCGATCCCTGCTTCAGGCGTGTATGGGAGTCCACAACTGACTGCTGTTTCTCACATTAAGGTTTCTCTCTCTCTCTCTCACGCTTTGTCTTTTTAGAACCAGTAAACATATCTTTGGGTGAGGATTAAAAAATTATTTGGCATAAACACATGTGGATTTGAATTCCATCCCTTCTACTCACGGACTATTCCACCCCCAGCACACGGTGGCACCTCGGTCCCTCATCTACAGGCCCAGGTGACCACGTCCACTGCCGGGGGCCCAGAGCGGGGATGAGCCAAGGTGCAATCGGATTGCTAGATAGTGTGTTGACTTATTTTTCACATTTCCCTTTTCTGGATCATTATGCTCTATTTTTCATTCATGGTTCCTAAATTCTTTTCCCCTAATCCTTTTAAACGTAATTATTTGATAGTATAGTTTTTTTTAAATGCATGGGTTTCTCTTCCTTTTCTTTTGAGCCCCACTACGGGTTTCCATGGGTGAGGGGGTTACCATTTGTCCACTGTTTCTGACTCTTGCAGAAAGGGCACCGCCTCCGCCCAGCCCAATGGGATGCAGACTGCTGCCAGGCACAGGGGACCTTAACCTGCAGCCCTGCCCCTGAGCCCTCACAGAGTCACAGCACGTTTCTGTCCCACCCCTTAAATCTGCAGGAGGAACAGGCCCGAAGTGGAAAGGACGCTTTCACAGCACTGTGCTGACTCATCTCAGAGCCGGATGCAACAGGAAAAATCAGTAACATAACCCCAGTTTGCTGAAAATTTTTGATATTTTGTTTAACAGGAATCCATGCACTCACTTTTATTAAAATACCCTGCATTGAAAGACGATCTATCTTGATGGCTGAGATTCTGGCACTCCCTTAAAGGGTGTGCCCAAGGAGAGCGGTATTCACCTCACCGGGGTCCCAGCACCAGGTCCTCCCACCTTCGCCCAAGCCCCCCTTCTCTGCTCTGAGAGTACCCCTGCCCAGAACCTCACCAGCCTTCTCCACAGGCCATGCCTCCTGCTCTGAGTCAGTCTCTACTGTTGGTGTCTTGAAGACTAACCAGGCCTCTGCCCCATGCCATTGGTGCTTGCTCTGAGACAGACACACTCTCAGTGCGGTAGTGCAATAGCTGGACATGCAGAATTTTGTCTCTCACATCACAAGCACCCTGCATCACAGAGTGCTACGGGGACAGCTGTAGCCTGAAAGTTTGCCAAGGAGTTGGCATCTCCCTTCTGAACAAACCCCTGTTTTGTGCAGTTTTGGTGGTGGGAGCTAACAACTCACTTCCGTTCTTGCCCGGATACGGCAGGAGTGGTTATGGGATGGGCTGCTCAGCTCCAGCAGATCGGATGCTCTTTCAGTGAGTGACGTGGGGGGCAGTGAGTGGAACTCCCGTTCACGGCATGGGAGGTGGAGCGTGAGAACCAGGCTCTTCCCTTTGTGGTAGTCCCTACTGCCTCCCCTCTTGAGTTCTATTTGGTGCCCACTCATTTTTCTCTGTGTATCCTCTGACCTCCTGTCCATTCTGTGATCCCTGATATTGATCTAATAAATTCTCATTTTATTCCACTTAACATAGCTGATGGTTTCTGTTGCCTGCAGCCGTGGATCCGGACAGATTTTGTACTAGAAATAATTAGAGGTTCTGAAGTGTAAACTCCTTTTACACTCGTAGGTAATTTTTTTGCTTCATCTCACTTTACACATTCAACCAGACCCTAGACTTGTTTGGGTGACGGTCTCTGTAAGTCACGGTTATTTGCATGGCATCACATGCTTTGCAGAGCATCTTAAAATATTGATAAATTTAATCCCAATGCCCAAACCAGAAACAGTTTTACTAGCAGAAAATATGACTATGTTTCACATACACTCCAGAAATATTGCAAAATCAAACATACTTGTCCACCAAGAAGCCAAGCTGCAAACCTTCAAAAATCAGCTGTTTAAGTCTTATCTTTAATAGTGGCTCACCAAGTATCCATTCGCTCTGTCATCTCTGAGGACTTGCTTGTGGGCAGGCAAATGGTAGGTGACAATGGTTAGGGACTTCTCTCTATTCTCTTCAATTTTCCCAGGAAGGGGAAGAGGCTGCCCTCACGAGATTTTAGCAGTGAGGTACCCTGGGCTGGCTTGTGGACCACCAGCAGGGTTCTCCAGGAGCAAAGGTGGACACCCATCATCATTCTTGGGAGTGGTGACTACCTTCCACTTTCATTGCTACTGAGTGCTTTCATAGACTTCTTTGATAGTCTATGACGCATGAAAACCAGACTATAGGAAAATGCTCCTTTCACTCTCGAGCCACCTTTAGAGAACGGCAACAGTCTTTGCTAAGAGGGATAATCAGTTAATTCAGTGCCTACTATGTGCTAGGTCTTGTGCTCCAAGCACTTTACTGACTCACCCAGTTTATCCTTCATGGTGACTCTATAACCTCGGTATTATTTCCCACCTTTAACAAGTAAAGAAACTGAGGCACATGACAATTAAATGTCTTCCCAAGGTTACACATGTGGAAAATGAATGAACAGAGATTTGCACTCAGGAAGTCTGGCACTAACTGGTATGTTTGTGTTGGTATTCAGTGGTGAAAGTTGTTCTAGATTTCGGGACTGTCAGCTGACATCAGAACTAGAATGTATAATTTTATTGTGAAAAATTGAAATACTGTAAAGCTATTGGGCCAGTTATAATTGCACAGTGAGGGCTGAACTCCTCTGGTTTTGGTTTAGGAGGCAGAAGAGCAGAGAGGTAAAGCGACCTGCTTTTTGATTGGACTTCCTGCATGTGAGTCTGTGT